GGCTAGACCTGCTCCCTAGTAGTCCACCTAACTTTTTCTCTTTTGTGATGGATTACGTGTTCTTGCCGGCCCACCGTTAGTCTCATAGAACTGTACCTTTTGTTTAATTTGAATCCAGTTAAAGCAGCGTAAGCACCTTTGTCGCCCTTGATTTACGTTTAAGGTTGCTTGTGAACTTAATTTGAGTATTTGTATGTTAGATGCAAACCAGCAATTGTTTATTCGTTGAGCAATTCAGTGTCTCCTCTTATTTTTGATAAGTAACGAAAAGGTAGCCTAGTCAATTTCAAATGAATTATTATTTCATCGACAGTGAAGTTTTATCGGACATGACACCCTGTTGCGTGAGACTTGACGCGAAGTGTGTCAATAAGGTTTCTGTATTTGTTCCTGGAACTACACAGTTAGCTAGGTTGGTTGCTGTGAGCAGTGACTATAAAGCCTTTTGAAGGTCATTATACATTTTACCTGTCCAAGTTGCCAGCTAGCTGCAGGATATTTCATCTTCCGAATTTAAAGTTAAAAACTCGTCACGTCTCATCCAGAAGTTTAACGAAAAACAGGATTTTAACCCTGGACTAGCAACTTGTCTTTCAATTTTGTTGGTAGGAGGCCTTGTGTAAACTGTTTCTTATGTAACTTAATAACTATTTTAGAAAAGGGATTCTCTGAAACGTTACTCCGTAGCCACCGCTAGAATTCTACATTTCTGATCAATGTTGCTGCTTTGAAATAAGAAAGGGAATTTCAGAAGAGTGTTTTAAAATAACAGGTATTTTCTGATGTTTTATTTTAGGGCCTGTTGATTGGATTCCAAGAACCTATAATCCACACTTACAACAAAACAATCGCAAGTTTTTATACCAGTGACTACATTAATAATGTTTTGTCCAAACGTTCCTCAATTATTCTGCTGGGCGATTCGTCGGCCGATCCATCTATGGTGGATGGTATTCCCAGAGAAGGTGTGGATTCCGACCTAAGCATTCTGAAAATCGGCTATCTTAACAATAACGTAAGTTAGCAAGCTTCTTCTGAACCTTGACTTGGATTTTTATCGGTTATGCTATTGGTAGTGTCATATTTATCGGCTCACGACCACTACTCGGTTAATTTTAGCTTACAATATGCTTATTTATTTCCTGACTTTTCTTCTTACCGCAAACGGAAAGCCTGTTGGATACCTATATGAATATTTGTAACATAGTCGTGATAGACGATGCGATATTTAAGATACCACTGGAGCTATCTTTATCACCAAGCGCCACTTTTCCGGTTTTCGTCTTGCGCCAATCTTTCGCTATTTTCATCAGTTTGCCTTTTCAGTTGTCTCGCATTTTTTTTGCAATCAAAAGAAATCGGCAAACATTAGCTTTCATGGATTCACCACTGAATCTATACCGTTACATAGATAATGAAAAGATTGGAATTTGGCAGGGTTTAAAAGTTTCTTATGGTTAATACGAATGGTACCCAGGATGCCCAAATGGCGGTGTCGGCGTGTTGAGATCATTGAGGTGGGGGAGATAGGGCAGGAGTGAACGATGTTCATTTATTGCTTTAGTACCCAATTTCATTGAAAACAAAGGCCTTGGATGGCATTTTAGTTCGTTGTTTTATATCACTGGTTTACTTCGCTTTTACTTGAATTTCTCCCTACTGCATACTGTGGGACGTAGGGTATGGTAGGGTGTGAACGAATTTCTTTTATTTGTTCGTTATCCAGGGGCCTATGTTTGCAGTTTAGGTCACTTTTCCAATCATCGGTTTATTAATTTTTTTCTTAATTTCTTCTTACCGCAGGTCGAAACCCTGCTGGATACCTACATGGATATTTACGATATTGTCCTGATAGACGATGCGACCTTTAGGATACCGCTTGAGGTGCTGAACTGCATCGTTCATTCGGAATCGCTCGACTTCTGACATAGCTCAAGGACGGTGCAGGACAGCACTTACTTTCAGCGCATTGAATTGACAATAGATTACCCGGTCATTCCGTCGTATTACCCTTTTGAACGCTTTTCCTCTGCCTTGTCACATTTATTCTTCCACTTTGCCCGAACACCTTTGCCTGTTCGGGGGCCTGTGCAATTTTTTGCGATACAGTGACAGCGCGAATTGCATGTCACAGTTGCTTAACTTTGATCAATCACTGTAGTTATTTTTTATTTCAACACCTCCCCACTGCTTTTTATAACTGTGAATGCTACCAATTCATTCTTGGACAGCCATGATTTCCGTCTGTATCGGATGTTTCATTAACTTTTTTCTGTCCTGATTAAGTTTTCTGAATTTTCTTTATTTGGCAACCGTGGGTTGGGCAACTTCAGCTCGCTACCAGTAACCATAGGTATAGGGGGATTGTTCCGGTTGCGAAAAAATGATAACACGTACGAAAATGTAGAAGTTAAAATAATACTAGTCGCAAATAAGAAGGGTCATGTTTAAGTTATCTATTCACTTAACGAAGCGACATGTATTTCTAAAAACGATGTGTCTAGCAAAGCGCTTGCATCCGCTAAGCGATTAGCCGAAACTTTAACCAATCAATCGTGGCTATTTATTATTATTTAAGTTCAGCGATGATACCCATGTAAGCATCAAGGAAGCCAAGTTAGGCGAACGAAGGTTTTCGATTAATTCATCATCAAGCAATGCAGTAATATAAGAGAGGGTGGAGTTAACGAACGTTTTAAGCAAACCAATCAGTAGTAACAAGGGAAAAAGGGGGGAGAGATGTGTAAAGGAGTCAGATTCTAGTCTTAATTGAGGACCAGAGAAATGGGGGTGGGGGAGGGGAAGGAGTCCGACAGTTAGTTAATGTCGTCCCGTAGTCCTCGTCTCGAGTCTTGTCGGGATGTGTGAGGACGCAAGGTGTCGACGTCTTGTGACGGTTCGGTTTGCTTAAAACATTCGTTAACCCTACCCTCCCTTTTATTACTGTATTGCCTGATGATGAATTAATCGAAAACGTTCGTTCGCCTAACTGGACTTCCTTAATATTAATTATTACTTAACTCATGATTTTATTGGTTTATAATTAATTCAATAGATATTATTTGGCACGATTGTGAAAAACTCGGCGGCCTCTTTGGGATTCGAACCCACGTCAGCGAGTGGGAGCTTTGTAGTGACCTAGTAGCGTTTTCTACATTAGGCGCCATGCCACGCATAAGGCCACATAATTGCATGTTTCGACCTGCATCTGGTGCGGCCAGTTACACGTGCCGAAAACGGCGCCAACGCTCAACATCTTGCGGCTGCTAGCAGGTGCAAATGCATCGGCCTGGCCAATCACCTCCCTAACTGTGACGACTGCCATGCTCAAACACTTCAGATAGCGCCCCGCTGGGGTTCAGACCCACGCTTGTCCGACAGTCACCCTCCTCCTACCTATGCTGTCTTCCGTACAGAATAAGCTAGTCCTTCCATCTGGCGTCTCCCTTCTTCTCTTCTCACACGGAACCGGACCCAAAAATCACAGAGGCAAGGGTTTCACCTACAAACGTAACCCACTGCTATAGGTTATTGAATGCTAAAAACCAGCTCTGTCTGGTAATTCTAAGCAATAATCATTATTACCACGCATTAGCGCGTACGAACAATATTGTGTAGTCCATATATGCCTTAACCTGGATAAGTGAAGTAAGTTGCATTCCGAGATGATATGATGAAAATATAGAAAACCGAGTTTAACTCGTGAATTCTTGAACAGGTATCACTTGCTCGTCGTCAGACTAAATGAAAAATGAGGGCTGGGAATGTCGCACCGCAACTCTCACCCATAGCCCAATCCCACTTCTTTGTAATTATTGCCCCCAAAACCTCTAGTGCGACATTCCCAGCCCTAACTATTCATTTAGTCTGACGACGGAAAAGTGATACCTATTCGAAAATTCACCAGTACAAATCAATTGTCCGAAGACCTTCTTTCTTTTCATCATATCTTAACCTATCTTTAAAAAAATCAGAAATCAAAGCGTTTCTCCCGTAGCCAAGAAGGCACTGTTGCAGTATAGCATGGCCGACGATCCTTAGAGCACGCGTTATATAGTGAGAACTGAAAAGACACAAAAACGGTTTGGCTCGTCTTTTTGAAAATTTGATGAAGTCACAGCGTGTGCGTTCCAAAACAGAACCCGCTTGGGGGTGCCATGGAAACTCAAACATATAAAGGGTTACTTCCCGTAACTATAAATAAGGCAAGGCTTTCTATGACAACTATGCAGTAAATACCCTAAATCATGAAATCTCAACTCAAATTCTGAAATGTGTATTCGATTCGGACATATTCGTTAATTATGGTTACAATAATCCTAACCGTACAGCTCACTCTTACTATCATTCAGTCATTTAAGGATGCCCGCTTTTGAGGGCTCTTCCTGTTGACTGCCTACAAAAACTTAATTCTGTAAAAATGACTACTTAATTATCATGCATTTTGTTCACTGATTTTCACTGCCCTAATAAATTCAAACATATTTTATAGAAAACACGCAAAAAATACTCTTTCATGTTTTCTTTTGGTAGAAAAATATGCTTTTTAAATTCTATACTTGAAGAAAGTGCATCTTTCCGTTTAAGAATAGGTCTCTTAATTGTTGAATAATTTTGGAACATACCGGCCACTACTTTCAAATTCAGGGTCTCTAAACCATATGCTGTAAGGTAAAGTTAATATTTTCCTAAGGAAGACACAAATTTCTCAGAAACTTTTTCAGTGGATGTAGAAAAAATTTTATAATTTCTAAGTAGCACGAATACATGGACATATGCGTTGCTTTATGAATACACATTTAACGATCGCAAAAAATCGCATAATGAGAAGCCTTTTAAAAACAGAAAGTCATCCCTTCTTCACATATAAAATTTTGCGAAGCCATAACATTCTACCAAACGACTAGAAGAAGGAATATTTTTATTAATGTTCTCTATAGAATATATTCGAACTTATAAGGGCAGTGAAAGTCAATGAGAAAAAATGCATACTGTATAAGTAGTCATTTTTAGAGAAAGAGTTTTTGCGGGTGGTTAGAAGAATGCTACTCCAAAAGCAAGCAACCTGGCATTACTGAAATTTATTGAGATTAGGCTGTATGATAAAAATAATTGCAACCGCAATTAATTAATATGTTCAATTCGAAAACACACTTCAGAATTGCAGTCGGAAATTCATAAGTTAGGGAATTTACTGTAGTAGGTAGGTGG